TTGGTAGAATTATCAGTTTATAATTCTCATTAGGTAAGTGCCACAGACTCAGAGGATTAACACAATACACAGGAATTAAGAACATATCCATCCCTGTTTAACTCTCCTGTACTCCTTAAAAACAGTTCCAAATAAACTGAGCAGCAACCTGAATTTCTAAGTGCCTACTGGATTCTGTCTTTAACCAAATATACCACAAACACCTCAGTTAACATAAAAAAATCCCATAAAGGAATAAAGAAGGGCACTGCACCCCTAAATTGCCTGTCCTCCCAACATGACCATTCATCAACACACCTAGGAAACCCACATCTTTAATCATTCTCTTCCCTCACTCCCTACGTCTAATCAGACACCAAGTCAAGTAAAACTCTTAAATCTTATTTGTTTCCAGAAATAAGGGCCATGATCATCTCTCACTGGAAATAATACAATGATTCCTTAAATGATCTGTCTTTCTTCCATCTCTTCAGTTTGCTGTGCTAAAGAGAACATGGGTTTAGAATAAAAAAGACCTGGATTCCAAATCTAGTGTAGCCATTTATTAGCAGGGAGATAATCACTAAATCTCTCTAAGTCTTAATTGCCTTATCCATAAAGCAATACCTGCTCCTCCTTATATACACTGGCGAGAGTTGGTGGTGTGGTAGAATAAAATACCATACTATCATCACTGATATCTAGCGTAATCAGAAACTGGCTTTGGATCAGAACCAGAAATTTGGCTACTAATATGTTGTAGTTTGGGCTCTTATTATTATTATTTTAGAGATAGGGTCTCATTCTGTCACCTGGGCTGGCATGCAGTGGCATGGTCATAGCTCACTGCAGGCTCAAACTCCTGGGCTCAAGCCATCCTCTCACTTCAGCCTCTCAAGTAGCTGGGACTACAGGTGCACAGCATCATGTCCAACTAATTTTTAAATTTTTTATAGAAACAGGGTCTCGCTATGTTGCCCAGGCTGATCTTGAACTCCTGGCCTCATGTGACCCTCCTGCCTCAGCTTCCCAAAGTGCTGGGATTACAGGTTTGCGCCACCACGCCCGGTTCTGGGCTCTTATTTTTAAAAAAGGTAGGGTAACTCATGACCAAAGGTTCATTCAAAACAACATAAAACAAGTTGGATATTAAACCCAGAAAGCTGGTTATATTTAGGGCTTTGATCTCTAGGTTTCCTCATCAACTTTTTAGGGAGCTAATGGCAGACAGAATACTTAGCAACCTGCCCCTTGGCTGCAGCGAGGGCAGCATATTCCAGGGAAAACTGACTCATAGGAAAGAGCTTATCCTAAAATTGTAAAACTTTATTTATATTATGATCTCCACTTGTTAAAAAAGTATTATATTTAGAATAAATAAAAGATATTGTATATACTATTCTTAAACCAATCACAAAACTCAAGTTCTTTTCTTTAATAGAAAAATCTGAAAGGAGACAGAACTTAGACTTAGGTTTTATTTTCCAAAGGGCATTAACAATTTCAGGAGCTTTAGAAAAAATTTTGCCTGGGAACATAAATACTGGGAGCCTAATTCAGAGCTTTACCTAGTTGATTGCAATAACCACAGAGATAGGTTGTGAGGGCTATAAATTCAAAAGCATACAAAGAAACCTGTCAGGTTCTCAACCTAGTAAACAGTTCCAACTCTGATACATTCTTTAGAAAAAACAAGTGTTAAGACAAGGAATGAAAAATTCTTTAGTAACTTAGCTTAGACATTTAATCTTTTCAAGAGTACAATAAAACCATAATATTCTTATATGTTTACTTCAAGGTTTCAGCAGGCAGCTCTAAAAGGACAAAAAAAACTTTCTAAGCAATGATTGGAATGCAAACATTCACCGAAAGCAAAACTTCTGCACGTTAATCTCTATATACACACACAGACATATGATGTATGTATATATAAATTTTTTTAAAGTAACAGTTAATAAATAAAGAAATGATAAAATTATATCACCATTTTGCAACTTGTAATAAATTAATGGCTCCTAGCATGATTACCAATGACTGCTAGCATCATGAAAAAAGAAATAATTAGACCTTGTATATACTGCCAGTCCTGTCCCTCAAAAATACCCTGAATGTGATCAAGCTCCTAGATCCAACTATCAATTAATAGGAAATACAGACGACCAAACAACACATTAAACCACACACAGAGATACTATCAGCAAAATCCATACTGTGGGAAACTAAACAGGAATAATGACCTGGTTTCTTCAACAAGTAAACTGCAAGGGAGAAAACAGAAAGAAAAAAAGCTTGAGGGCAAGGCAAGAGACAGAGAGAGAATCTACAGACAAAAGAAAATACATTAAATACATTTAACAACATTATTAAATAACAATATTAAATACATTTAATAACAGTCCATTAGTCTTTCAGTTATTTTTGATAATTCTGACACTCCCTAAATCTTAGCTTTTCTACATAAACATTTGTCTCCTAGATAATGTCATAAAATAATTCCTCTGGTTTGTTATAATACCTTTGAATCATTTATTACAAACTATTTAAATGACTAATTCCTGATCAGCAATAAAAGCTCATTTCTATGTCTCCATAAACATATTTAGAAAAATGTCTAGAAATGGTCAACTCACAGGAAAAACAGTAGATTTTATTTGAGGGGGGTGGAGAAGAGGAAAT